AAGAGACATCCCATATTCAGAGTTACAGCCACATCATTTAGCAAAGTTAAGCCTTGCCATTCCCAGTCGCTCTGGACATCCTCTGTTACCTCTGTGTCTGCTACATATTGATGATATGGTCAAAGCCATGCATACAGGCAATGATAAACTAATCATGATATGTGCAGCCCCTGAGAGACACCCTTAGTAAGTGAAGGTAATGAAAGGCGGCAGAGTAGCAAGGGCATCGTGCAGGAAAGGAGCCTGGTGGGCAGAGCCCTGCGACTTCTCTCATTTTCGCTCTGTATCCCAAACAAGTCCCTTGCTCAGTTTGCTACCCACACACCAAAGCATTGTCCCATTTTATCTGGTTCCCCTGATACTTCCATTGCTTATCTTATGAAGATCCGTGTCAACATTTATCAAAACAAATGACAGGCCTGGGACCTTTTAAGTGTTTTTTTTAGTTAATAAAACCAATCTTCTACTTCTGTTATGTTAAAAGTACATTATCTTTTTATTACAAACTCTCTACAGCTCTGTCTGTTTTCCTTCTTGGCAATTTCATGACTGCTCCAGTTGATTGCTGTATGGAGAATTACAAAATCATTAAGGGTGGGGTTTTACCAGCTGACTTACAGTACAAGCCATTTCTCAAAATAACCACAACAGTGCAATACTGATGTGTAATTTACGTCACAGTATGTTTTTATGAAATAGTTTGTGGCTTATTCATTTAGATTTAGAACCGAATATCTCTTCTCTCGCTTTTTAATCAAGCTTTCTTCTTTCTTTTTTTTTTTTTTTTTTGCTTTTTAATATTTTCCATTCCTCGGCTTGGCTTGCCTCCAATTTACCAGCTACAGTGAGGAGGAAAAAGAACTTTTTTTTTTTTCCTTTTGCCTGCAGTTTAACTGCAAGTCTGTTTTCCTCTTTGATGTATATATTTGTGTTAACTGCCTCGGAAGAGATGGTAGATTTGTGATAGAATATATTGCACAAAGCTTGAGCAGGGAATTGATAAAAGAGATGCAAAAGTTCAGAATTTCAAACCATACCAAGCAACTGACGCTATTTAGCCTCCTGCTCTAGTACATTTCCTTTTTAAAAATGACTTTCTGTATAATGTCTTGTAATTAGAACAGGAAATCATTGAGTAACTGTAAGAAGAATAAGAGCACTTAAACTGAAAAGAAAATTACCTTCCGAGAAATTATAGTCACAATTTTTTTTTCCCTTAAATCTTTTTTTTTTTCCCTTCACATTAGTGTGTTGGTAATGATAGTAACAGATGTACATACCCTTATCTGTGTCATTGTTCTGCTTATGTTTTTCTGGGTGAAAAAAAGTCATTTTCAGTAATACGGAAAATGAATGAACAGAAAATGGGAAGTGCCTAATTACAAAAAATATTCTGTGTCACAACAGAGTAGCAATTAAATTGAAACTTCAATATAATTATCAATAACAGTCGAGCCTGGAAGGGTGCCAGGTGCGTAAAGTTGGTGCTCAGCCTTTATGTGGTTGCTAGGAGCACAGCGAAAAGTATAAAGCTTAGAGAAAGGAATGTCTAATGTAATAAAGTAACAGAAGGTAGCATAAATCATTGTGAGAGCAGTTCATATTGACATTATTTTACTTAAATTGGGTTGAAACTAGACATTTAGTCTTACAAGAGGCACAAATTCATATTTCTTCCACAGAAATAACTGTGCTTTCTGGGAAGAAGTGGAGTGTGCTTTCCTAGCACCAGCCTCGTACATATTTGGAATCTTTTAAACAAAAATCTTTAAATGTTTGTTTCTGTTGGCATCCAGATGCATTTGCACTAATACGATTAAAAGAACTAAAGGGCAAAATACTTGGCAGCTTTTGCAGTTGAGGTAATTAGGTACAGGAAGGAACATGCATAGTTTTTCCATCAAGCTCTATAAAATCCTGGTGTGAAGGTCTTTAAAGAAAAAAATGCTTACTGATGTTGAGAGTAGATTATGGCGGTTAGCAATAACATTATAGGCTGATGTTTCCGAAACAAGCAAACAAAAGGCGAGTTACAGTTTTTTATTTCTCTGCTCTCTCTGTAAATAGTTCTGGCTCTGGATGGATTTGTTAAGAATTCGTGCTTTTAGCAGGCTTTATTTTTTTCTTTGGGGGCTTTTAATTGTCTTGCATTACATATTAAAAATGGTTGTGCTGATTTGAAAGTCGGTTCTTGCATAGATTCATTGTGTTTGGCATTTCATGCATCTCTTACTTACAAAGACAACTTGAAGAACATGTAATCCAACATAAATGCCAGGCTGTGCCAAATCCCAGCTCTCTTTACCCCTCACAAAAGGAACTGTTGGATTACATCTATGCATATATAGGCAGTGCTCAGAAGGCAGAGGTGGAACCTTGACTCCTAATTACAGTTTCTCTGTTTTCAGCCCTGAAATATATAAATAAATGAAAAATTACATTGGAGTGGGTTATTAAAACACACGATTATGATATAAGCATGGGATTAGAGTAATTTCAGTGGAGCCTTACAAGCAGTGTACTGTAGGTACCATGTTCTCTCAGTTGAAGCTAAAATGAGATTCAGAAATAAAGCATCTTGGTTTTCTGAGATCTCAGTTAAATGTTTTTATAAATTACTTCATTTTTCTTGGCTTTAATGGAATGCGATCCACATTTTAATCACTGCTTCTCCTAAGAGTTAACTCGTAAGATATTTCTGAAAAATATTCAGCAATATACACTCCACTGTTAAACAGCACATGTTAGATTTTGCCAGAAGAAAAAAAAATAGTTCTTCTTTGCGCTTGCATTTTATTAGGGATTGGTCTACTTTGATTTCTCTTTTCTCACGTGGGCATGGTTGAGAAAAAAAAGTCTTTGTTCCAGGAACACTCTGTTTGTCTTTCACTAAACAAATCTTCAGTTTATTCAGCCTTTGTTCATTCTTAGATTTATCTGTTGAACCTGGAATGAATAAGGAAAGGAAACAAATGCATCATGAAGTACTCATTGGAGTTGTACAAGCATGTATAAAAGTGATCCTGTAAAAAATGACTTTATTTAAATTTATGCCAGGAGGTTGAGTCAAGTCATCAGTTGTCAGAGGTAGAAAGTTTGTGTAATTCTGCACAGGGATTTACAGCACATTTGTCTAGAAACTAATGGGTTACTACAAAGGCATATGGAATATACATTTACATGCACCCTGTTTAGAAAGCTGACCACAACCTGGCATAAGAAAAGTGCTGTCAGATCAACAGATTCAGCTCTCTACTATCTACGCAAAGGTATAAAGTAGTAATAATTGTCTGTCAGGCATATATGAAACTCGCAAAAGAGCTAAAGGATGGATCATGTGCTTGTTAATTCCTAGAACAACTTTCGTGATCTGATTTTAGAGTTTCTTAATAAAGAAAAGAGCGTATTATTCCCAAGAGCAATTGGCTCAATCATGCTGTTGTAGGCTTATGGGATACTTACTTGTTGAAAACAAAGAAAAGTGTGACTTTATTGACCAAAGCATCCTTACTGACCAGAGTGGTTATAGGACATACATTTTATTTTCTTAGAAAAGTAATGTCAGTTTCCCAAAATGTATTAAAGATACTTTTTTACACAATTTTTTTGATCTCCCCACCTACATCAGGGTAGTGGTGAAAGTTCTGAGGTTTTGAAAGTGATGGCTTTCAGGAGCTGTGCTTGTAAAAGCAGTACTTCCCAAGTCTGTCTGCCATGCTGATTTTTTTTTTGCAGCATTGCATTCATCTGCAGTGATGACATTCTAGGTGATATATCTGCTTCCAAAGACTTCTTAAAGTTTAGCCTTTTATGTATTAACATTTCCATTGCCTCACCAAATCAGGATGAGTTGTGGCACTGTGTTTAGTTGGGGTGAACTGATATGACAGTTTCTTTCAATATCTGAAGTGATTTTTACTTTAAGGGTAAGAAAGATGATTTCAGTATTGATAATGGGATTAAATAGTAGACTTTCTGTCTCTGGCAGAAGAAATAGCTGAGTTATTCAGTAATCATAGTACAGGAGAAAACATAAAGTGAATGCTCTTGCTTTGCCTTCATTGGTATGCATGGAAAGTCATGTTCAGTTACCCCACCTGAGGAGATAAATGAGCATAAAAAGAAGAGCTGTTAACTATCAGCTGCATACCTGCAAATGAATAATTTCTCATGTTTACATCTCTGGTTGGGTTTTTTTGCTGTTAGGTTTCCTGCTGGTTATCATATGATGAAACTTGATTGTGATATTTCAAAATCTGCCGCCTTTATTTCTAATATTAACTAAAACCTGAGGCAGTGGAAAAGTCCGAGCTCTAGATTGCTTTATATCTTGACCCCACATTTCGACAGTGTGAGCTGTTTGAAAATTAATTTGCTCATTGTGCTCTGCAGGTGTTTTATTGAGTCCTGCTGCATTTGCAGTTAATGTGAGGAAAGTTATTTCCACCTGTTGGGTTAGCTTAGCATCAATGACCAGGTCAGATCAGCCCACCTCGCTGGCCCAGGACCCTTTAGTAGTTGCCTGTATCAGACACTTCAAAGGAGAATAGATAGTTATATGCTCCTGGGCTTGCATATTATTATTTTTAAAAGACGCTAGCTGGTGTAAACATGAGTTCAGTAAGGCTGTATAGGGAGCTGAGTGAAAATGACAGATAATATTTCTATCAAAGCAGCCAAGTTGGCAAAGTAGAGCACTTTGATTCAGGCCGTTGGCCAACTTCTGCAGAGAGCTGTTTTCTTACTCATACAGGTAGCATCCTTGTGGATAAGCGTGGAAGAATTGAACAGAAAGCCAGAAAAGAAGCTGTTTCAATAATTTTTTTTTTTTTATTTCTATTTTTAACCTTTCTTTTGAAAACCACTGTGCTATAGAAGATAGGTCTTGAGAAGAGATTGAACCAGTGGGCCATGGGTTTTCTGACATGTTTGAGTTACAGCTCATGTTTTGTGTTTTTCTGACATACTAAGAGGGTGTTTTTTTAATTTTATTCTTCCAGGTGAGGATGATGAAGATTCAAACCTGCTAATTCTGAGCTACCCACAGTACTGTCGATATCGTTCCATGTTGAAGCGCATTCAGGACAAGCCTTCGTCAATACTAACAGACCAGTTTGTCTTAGCCCTGGGGGGCATTGCAATAACCAGCAAGAATCCCCAAATCTTCTACTGTCGGGATACATTTGATCACCCTACTCTAATAGAAAATGAAAGTATATGCGATGAGTTCGGTAAGTTACGTTACAGCTATTTTTCTCAAAAGTAAAGACATTTTCTTTTTAAGTTTCCATTGATTTCCAAAGGGAAGATGTGATTCCTGTGAAATGAAACAATACTATTTATGTTTGAAATGTAATGTACTAAATGTGCTCTTTCCTCTGTGAGACTGAAGTATTCTAGTCACTGGTGATCTTCGTATTGCAACTTGAGTTTATCACAATTAAAGATACTGTTACATGGGTAGAGCATGTAGCACAGTTGCTCAGTATAAGTGAAAGGGTCCCTTGTCTGGATTTGAAATTTATCTACCTTATCTTTTCACCTATAGCTTGTCTTTCCAGAAGCTTTACAAATCATGTTGGGGTTTTTTTGAAGTCATTGTTGGTGCAGTATGCTAGCAAATGCAAAATACGAGTGAGTCCCTGCACATCCCATTGCTGTTGCAGAGCACTCATCAACTGCACGTATGCTCCCAGGGCCCAAAACAAATGTCAGCTATAGCTGGTGTGTTTCTGGCCTTCCTGGAATGTGAGCTTTTTCAGCAGCAGCTTTGCCAGTGCAAGGAGTTTGATTTTACAAGTGCAGATACACTTCTGGGAGGTGACTTCTTAATTCAAAGGTTTTAGAGAATACTCTGCAGCTCCTTACAGCTGGGAGAGAGTGCTGCAAGATTTGACTCCTGGTCTCTGTCAGGTGATTTCACACATTTTTTGTGTGTGTCAGATCAACCCAAGGGCAGTGGATGCACTGCTAAATGTGTGACAGAACTCATGTTATGTACACACCCAGGGTTATTCTACCAATGGGTCCAGTGTAATTTCTTTAGCTGTGAACCTGTGCTGTGAGAATTAAGTTTATTACCCATATCACCTGATGAATGAGCACTGCAGCTAATGCCAGCAAGGTCTGTTTGCAAAGCGATGGGTGCACCTTTGCTGTGCAAGACCCCTGCATCTCTGCAAGGAGCTCTTGTGATCTCTTAGAGAATTTCTCATTATGCATTCAAGATGTAATAGTGGGAGTGAGAGGTAAGGGGTTCAGTGATGTCTGTGATCAGAGAATAATCTCCCTCTTTCTTCAAAATCTATCATGCTGGCTTTGAACTTGACGCCCAGTCCAAGCCTCCTTTATGTTGACAGAAAAACACTGACCCAGCTGATGGCATTGGTGCATTTTGTGGGTAGCGCAGGACTGCTCCTCTGCTGCTTCACCAGTCAACTCCCAACAGGCAGGAGAGATCCTTACTCACACGATGTCATCACTGGAGCACATTACTGCTCTGAATAATTATAATTTTGTCATGTCAAGCTTTTGCAGGATCAGGCCCAAACTGTCATATCTGCTCATTCTCACACAAAACATTTACAGGCTTTGAATGAACTATGGATAAACCTGTTGGTTGCTCTTAGGGTGCTGGTGGTGAAAAAATGAATGAAATGCCCTGGAAGTTTGGTCCAGTAACACAAAAGTATCATGTTGATTTTTATTTACTCTGAGCTCCAGCTCAGAATATAAAGTTCAGTTTTAATTGACTATCCTTTTTATATGGAAAAGGTTATTTTAGGTTTGAAGGCGTTTGATGAGTGTACCATCTGCTTTCTGTTGAGTATTTTATTCAGGGTCATTCCTTGATTACAGGTTTGTTGAAATAGTTGGATCCATAATGTAAGCGTATCATGGAATATTAGTAATAGATGAATCAAAGGCATGTGGAGTGATGCAGAAACTACGCTTAGTGAACCATAGCAAGTGCTTTGTTCAGTCTCTGAAAGCTAACTATGCCATTCTCTTGACCTTTGCAAGGCAATTATCTCATTATCAAACCAGAGCCACAGAAATCTTAGCCATAGAAAGTAATAATGTGTATTTAAAATTTAGTTTGGTTTAAGAAGCGGATTTTTAAAATGCCTATAAAACCAGAAAAAAAACCATGGTCTTTAGAAGTATTTCGTATGAAAATAATGATGCAGTAAAACTTGCAAGCCCTGTTATATTAAGAAGAAAAAGAATGGCCAATGTATGGTTCTATTTCTGTATTGCAAAGTGTATGGTGTCAATTATACTACCTTTGTTAGGGCAACAGGCAAAGTGCTATTTTATCCTTTTCTTTACCGGCAGGACAATAAAATGTACAATCTTTGTTACGCAAACAGGTTACATTGATATCATGTAGATTGATGTCACATGTGGAAAGTGATGACTGCTAAAGCTAAACAGAGGCAGGGTGGTACAGCAGATAAATAGATTACTCTAAGGCGCTGGTATTTATCAGTCAAATCTGAGGGAGGACCAGATTTCAGAAATATGACTAAAATTCTTAAAAGGTGTCTGTAAGGAGATCCAGACACATTTAATTTGAAGAGCTTGGCTATTTTTTACCTTGCAAATGAAAGAAGTGTGCCGAAGGAGCAAGACAGGAACTTGTATATTTCCTTATCACTTGAAATTCTCCAAATTCTAAAGTGAGTACAAAAGTTGGGAAATACAGTCTACTAATGTCTTTATGTGGGAAGCACTGGCTTCCCATACAGATGCCAGGTCTTCTACAGAAACACTGCTGTTGGGGAAGGCGGTGTATGTTCCTTGCATGTTGGAATACTGTGTGACAGATACAGCATGTAACAAGTGAGATACCCGAAACACCTGTACAAAAAGCCACGCTCACTGCAGCATATAAGCTGTTGTCCTTGTTAGGCAGTTTTAATAGAAATGTTTTTCCAGGAAGTAGTCTCTCTACTTTTATTATATGTTTAGAACGAAAACAGCTTTTTTTTTTTCAGTTCTGACTCCTTCTCATACTCCCTCCTTTTTTCCCCCATTCTATAAGGTTTAACAAAAATAAATAAAGAAGGAAATGAGGAAGAAAAAGTAAGTTTTGTTGACAGTAAATAATGTGGGGTTTGGTGTGGGTCTTTTTTAAGTAGAAAGTGGATGTAGATCCTGTCTGTGAGTTCCTCCAGGGATAGCTGGAAGAGATGCTTTGATAGCTCAGGCAGTTCAGTGTGGATGGCTTCTGTATTTCCACATAAGGAAATACAGGGTTTGGCTGCGGTAGGCTTCCCCACCAGCTTCAGTGTGGGCTACCACAGCCAGTGCACTGCAGTTGCCTGTATTTGTCTCTGTCCCGTCTGTGTGCTGCTCTGTGGCACATTCCCAAGTGCCATATATACGCAGGAATACTCAGGGCTGTTTTTCTTGCAGAGTCCTTTTCTGATTCTCTTCTAGCTTGGTTCAATGTGCCACAACATCCCATCAAGGAGGCCAATGGAGAAGTAGGCTGCTGAGGAATTGGCTTAGCATCTGGAAGGCTCAAAGATTTACATCTGTTTCATTGGAGCCTGACAGGGAAGAACTTGCTCTCCATTTACAAAGGAAAGACTGTTCAAAGTGGGAAGCCTCCTTCTCCCATTCCTGTTGATGTAACTACTGATTACTTAACCTGTCTTCCTTGGAGGTTACCCTCCAGAATGCAGATAGGCCTAAAAGCTTGCTTCTTTTCAGAACACAGAGAATATAAGCCATGCTTGATGTCTTGATAGCAAAAGTTCATTGATACGACCACAGCCAGACTGTATACTTACTCCCCTCCTGAAGTAAGAGGAATTAGAGGTCTTCACCAGCATGAAACTGTCCAGGTGGATAATGAAATTGTTGCTGTCTGGGAGCAAGAAATCTGAGATTTTGAACCTGCACAGGAGGCTAGAGTTGTCCATGGTTGAACTGAAGCAGAAAAGCTTGATGCCTGCGTGATGGTGCCTCCAGCCCATGCAGGCTTACACGTCGCACTGAGCAAGGGCCACAGGGAGAGCTCAGGCTGGACTCCATCAGCAGTGGCAGCAGCATCAGGACCAGTGGCACAGCAGGGCAGGCAAATGGGATCAGTTTTCTTGATGGCTTCATTTTAGTTCTCTGCACAGACTAGAGTTCACTTATGCGTTCTTTTATCTAACTGCTCCTGTTTATTAGCATGTGGAGAAAACCAAAACCCTATTTCCTCATTCCCCCGCTCCCTTAAAATGAAAATAGTATGTGCCAGCTGAACAATTTATTTCAATTCAAGACATCTTTCAAAATCTTTTTCATTTATCAGCTGTTTGGGTTACTGTTACTGAATAACTTTTGTAAATGCTTATAATTTACTGGCATTTGCTGTGTGGTCATACATGATGCAAGAGAGAAGGAATGAAAAAATAGGGATCCTAATACTTTTCATTATAGACCAAAGAGATCTAGCTGGAGGCAAAGCTGCCTGTGTGTCCAGAAGATGTATCTCAGGGTCACTGGGCAGAAACCAGTGTGCACTTGTTGCTAGAGCAGCACACATCCTCTGTATTTGCTTGTCTGAAGGTGACTTGGCCTTCTACCAGACTCATGCCCGCTCCACTGCATTGACTTGAGTTCCTGGGCACATCAATGAGCATGGATCCTTTTGTGACCCAGCTGTGGTCTATGTGCCCCTACAACAAGGGAGTGCAGAGATCTGTCTGCACAGACATCATCAACGTGACCTCCACCTTCTGCAGGCCTGGGGATTTAGGGCACATTAGAAGTAGAAGGGTCAGGTGCTTGGGTGATGGTGGATTTCTACAGCTCCATCAGCTTTGACAAGTGAAAATCTCGCACAGAAAGATTTTGTCATGGTGCTTTGCAGGATAAATATTATCAATCCTTACTGCTAAAGATGAACCAGAAGGCTCACTTTCATTTGTGAGCATGGGGTTGCTTTTTCTGTAAACAGCAGTGGGAGAGAAAACTGAATACCTTATTTCTTCTTGATTTTTAAAATCTATTTGGTAATTTTTAAACCATTCTGGGTTATTTTTACAGCATGCTGGGTCCAAAATGCCATTAAACAAGCTGTTTGGTCCCGGGTGTACTGTAAACACTTGTTCACCCCCAGAAGAAGATTAAGAGTTTTATTTTTGCATGTAGAGACCAGTTTTTTATACAACATTTCATACGCAAAAGTAAGAGAACTACATCCTGCTGAGGTATTAATATAATTTTTTCT